GTTAGCTAAAATTGTCTGTTGTCTCCAGGGCATTTTGCTGCTGTCATATTTTTATTTAATTTATGATTGTATGTTGATGTTTTCTTAAGTGGTCACCATGTAGTTAGTAAATTATTTTTGCTGACTTGTAAATATGAAATGTATGATAAAAGAATTTAGAAATAGACCTTAGTCAAGGCCATTTAGAAAAATATAATCCAGACCTTGAAATCAAGCAAGCAAAATCACTCTGAAATGATGAAGCAAAGGCATTGCATACAGTTCTCTGTTTGCCATTCTTGCACTTCACTTTAGAGAGTGTGTTTTGCTGGTGTTAACTGATGTCTCTCATTGATCAGGTGGTATAGGAGCTTGTATTGTCTCCTTTTCAGTGTGTGAAGCAGTTGAGAGTACATTTATAGCTGGGCTATATGGCCCAATTTTTGTCTCCTGTCAGATGTGAAAGAGAAAACCCCTCTCCACCTCCACACACATAAGAAAACAAAGCAGAATAAACAAACTAGGAATCAACAATTAAAGAGAAATATAAATAAAAACAGGCAGCAACCAGAAGAAAATGATAGAGTAACTAGAAAGAGAAAAGAGGGACAGGAAAATGGAGCTATAGAGGAGAAAAATAAGAGAAAATAAAAAGAAGAAATTGAAAAAAAAAAAAAACACCCAAAAACCTCTTAGAAAAACCAGGTGAGAGGAGATGAAAAGAGAACGAGTAGAGAGTAGTAAAGAAAGATCAAAAGGAGAAAAGAAGAAGAGGGGAAATTAGAAGCAAAAGAAAAGTAAAAGTAAAAGCAGATATGGAAAGGATAAAAGTCAAGAAATAGAAAGAGAAGAAGAAGAAGAAAGAAAAAAACAAACAAGAACAACTAAACATTGAAAGATTAGGAAAACAAACAAACAAACCCAGTGCAGCTGTTGGACCCAGAGAGGAGAAAACTATGGGGGCTCCTGCCAGCCAACAAGCTCAGGAGGTAGATGTGGGAAGTATGTGACAGCAGAGTTCCTGGCCCTAGATGGAGTTCCTATAGACCTAGGTGTTATCTATGGTCAGGGTACTCAATCCGGAAGTAATTCATGGATGACTTGAATGGAGCTGGTTTCAGTGTATGTTAGAACCACTGGGCAGCTGAGGGCAAGGTGACTGGATATGGAGATTTCCGCTAGACTAATGCTTGTGATTCTGTGGGTTCTTTAGATCTGGAACCAAGCCTGCCTGAATCCTGGCACCAAAGCAACGCAGTAAGCCCCTGCCTCACATGGGCATGACTCCCAACCATGTGGCCCAAACTCCTGGAGAGCTGAGTCTGCACTGGGGGTGGATGAGGGTGGGAGCTGTCCACACTTCTGGTCAACAGGGAAGCTCGTGTTAATCTGCTCTGCCAGGCCACCTTCTGTTGCCAAGGATGCTCACAAAAGTTCAGTATGTTCATGCAGCATCTAGCCAGGCTTTCATCAGTCTCCCTCCTCCTGTCAGTAAGCATGTGATCTACTTCTCTAACCTTTCCTCTGAAGTTCAGAGTTCTAGGATTTTCATCTGTATCTGTTTCATTTGTTCTCTGGTATCTTTTTTGTAGAGGGTCCGTGTAGTGTGCCTGCCTATTCAATAAAACCTATTGAATGGAATTTTAATCTTGAGTCTGATTAAAATTTTGATGGTTGTATAAGTTAGCTCTTGCTGAATAACTAACCATCTCCAAATTTAATGGATTACATAACCATTTATTCTTTTCTTACAAGGGATGTATGGTAGGCCTCTTCTGTGGCTCTGTAGTTTCATGACTGGGCTTGCTTCTGTGTCAATGGTCCATTTCTTGTTTGCCTGAGGCTGACTTGTCTAGGATGTGTCATTTGTGACAAGTGGGCTCTTCTTCATGTGGCCTCTCATCCTCCAACAGGCTTTGTTTTCATACTGTGGAAAGGTGCCAAGGGTTCCTTGAAATTTAGGATTAGAACTGCCACTTTGCTGCCGAAGCAAGTGAAAAAGCCTGCCCAGATTCAAGGGCTAGGGAAAAGTAGACTCTAGTTTATGATTGTTGTTGTTGTTAAGTGCTGTTAAATTGGTTCTGACCCTTAGTGACCTCATATAGAATTTCCGAGGAGCAGCTGTTGGATTTGAACTGCCAACCTTCACGTTAGCTGTCATGTGCTTATCCTACAGTGCCATGCCAGGGCTCCATAGGAATATCTTAAAGTCACTTTACAAAGGATGTGCATACTGGGAGCAGTGGAGAATCGGGATCAGTTTTATAACTCTTCAACCACAACAGTCAAATGAATGTTTTTCTTCAAAGTTGCCATCTTTCAATGTTCTGTACTCATCACAATGATTTACACACTCACTTAAAAATAATTTGACTCCTTTTTAGAATTTTCCTTTTAAGGAGAGTAATAAGAAATTAATAAAATCAGGTTGTGCTTTGTAGTCATCCATTCTATCCTTGAGTCCTTGTGTGGCACTGTGGGTTAATGCGTTTAACTGCAAAGTCAGTTTGGTCCTCAAGGTTGGTGGTTCAAGTTCATCAGCCGCTCCTTGGAAACCCTATACAGGGTTACTATGGGTTGGAACCAACTTGACGGCACTTAACAACAACAAATTCTATCCAACAGTAGTGATTGCAAATTATTTTTCCTGATTTCTAAATATGAAATGTATAATAAAAGGATTTAGAACTAGACCTCAGTCAAGGCCATTTAGAAAAAGATAATCCAGGCCTTGAAATCAACCCAAGAGAATCATTCTAAAATGCTAAACCAAAGGCAGTATAACTAGAATAAATGCAGAGGCTAAAAACCTGATTACTGTGAAGTGGTTAGCTCTAGTCTTTTATTTACTTATTGATTTAAAAGATGTTGCTTTAAATTGGTGTTAGGTGTTATCGAGTTGGTTCGGCCGCATGGTGCACAACAGTACGAAACACTGCCTGGTCCTGCACCATCCTCACAGTTGTTATGCTTGAGCCTATTGATGTTGCTATGATGTCAATCCATCTCACTGGGGTTTTCCTCTTAGTTTATTCTCCTGGTGTGGCGCTGTAAGTTAGGCACTGGACCACAAAATTGATTTGAACCACAACGTCAGCGGTTCAAATCCACCAGCTGCTCCTTGAAAACCCTATACAGGATGGGTATGAGTCAGAACTGACTCAATGGCACTTAACAACAACAACACTTGACCAAGCATGATGTCCTTCTCCAGGGACTGGTCCCTCCTGATTACACGTCCAAAGAATGAGAGACAAAATCTCACCATCTACCCTTCTATGGAACATTCTGGTTGTATATATTCTAACATAGATTTGTTTACTTTTCTGGCAGTCCATGGTACTTTCAATATTCTTCTCAAACACTGTATCTCAAAAGCATCAATTCTTCTACAGTCTTCCTTATTTTTTATTGCCCAACTTACACATGCATATCAGGTGACGGAAAATGTCATGGCTTGGGTCAGGTACACCTTAGTCTTCAAACTTGTTTTAAATTAGATTGTATAAATGCATACCAAACTAGCAGTTAGTACATACTAGGGTTCAGTATCTTTATTGAATATAACATTTATTTTTTTCTCTTAAAGGAGCTCTTAATTATATTGCAAAGTGCAGCAAACTAATGGAAAAATTTCCCCCTTCATTTTGCTGTTTAGATAACGTTTTGGAGAAAGAAAACAAGTTTATTCTCATGTCATTCCAGTTAGTGTTGCCGTCATATAGAGATTTCTGGAACCTAATATCTTAGCTACTGCTTTTGATGACCTTTTAAAAAGTCTGTACAACCCTTGTGTCTTAAAGGTAAGTTCATTTGGATTGTCCTTCAAGGACAGCTAGTAAACAATTCCATACCAAAAAAGTTACCCAAGATGTGATAGTAAATTTTGTGTTAGAATTTCCATCATCTAGCCAGATATATTTGGGTCTAAAGCTTTCTGAATTTAACAGTATACTTGAAGCAAAACCCACTTTTAGGGGGGGAAAAAAAGTCTTGTATTGGGAAATTGTATTTTATGTAAGCATTGCTGTTATTATTGTTAAGTGCCGTTAAGTCGGTTCCAACTGGTAGCGACCCTGTATAAGGTTTCCGAAGAGTGGCTGGTGAGTTGGAACTGCTCACCTTGCGACCCAGTGCTTATCCTACAGCACCACACTAGGACTCCTTTGTAAGAATATAAGTACGTAAATCTCGTATTCACCATTTTAGTGATCGTATTCACCTTGAAACAGTTTAAAATAATTTGTTAGTATGAAATGCCTATATAATCATTCATGTTTTGAAGTTTTTCCAGTTCCAAGTAGAGGCCAAATTCACTTTGTCTTTCAGTAGAAGATGCTGTCTTCTTCTTCCTTTAACTTAGTTTGACAGTTTAATTTAGTTAAAGTTGACAGACTGTAAGAATAGTAGTCGAGTGTTCTATATAAAATTTGGATGCTAACCTAGACCAAAGATACTAAGTCATGTATGTGGGTTAGAACTATTGGTTGGTAGCATGCTCATGAATATGCTACATGTTCTTCACCCTTGCCTGGTTTCTGTACCACTCCAGTAGGTTTTTATAGGATGTTACATTTCAGTGCAATTGCAGATTGGAGATTTGGAAACTTGGGATGTCAGTATATGGACAAGTCATTTAATTTCCTTGAATCTATCTGAATTACTTATGTACAGGTTGCTTCATGAAGCAAAGATAAAGTAATGCTATTACCACTGATAATAATAGTTACACCGTATGTTTAATAATGCCCTGCCTGTGTGTCATGCACTGTTCTATGGATTTCACATGTATACACTCATCTAATCTTTCCAGAAACCAGGTTTTCTCTATTTTATGGTTAAGGCAACTGAGACATAATATATGGAAACTTTGTGAATGCTCTAAAACACACTAAACAAATATAAGTCATTATTCTAACTGTACCCACAGTATACTTTCCCACTTTGAAAATTCAAATCTGTGCTTTGCTATATTTATATCAAATTATTCTTTTCTGCCCCTAAGGGACCCTGAGACCACCATGACTGTCACAGTAGTGTATGATAACTCTGAGGCAACGGAGCTCTGTGCAGCTCAACACCTCTACCTCAAGCCCATAGCAAAATTGACGATCAATGTATTGCTCCCAGAGAGTACAGAACCTGTGAGGCCCTTCTCGAACTGGGAAGTTCTTGACCAACTGAAGAGCCTGATTTGCCCTGACCAGTTCACCACCGTTCGACTCTCTAAGAGTACCAAGGACTTCATCCGATTTGAGGGTGAGGCTGAAACTCTAAGTTTGGTTCAGATCCTGAAGGCCAAGCTACATGGGAAGATCATCAAGCTGAATGGATTGAAAACAGACTTAAAAGTTGTGGCTACAGATGCCCAGAGAGAATGGGAACACTTCCCCAAGGTAAAGGAACCTTCACTGAGTGATGGGACTGAAGAGCAGGACCATGATAAGAGCCCAGATGCCATCTATTTTGAGGGCTTACCTTGTAAGTGGTTTGCACCTAAAGGGTCCAGTGGGGAAAAGCCATGTGAAGAGATTCTTCGTGTAGTCTTTGAAAGCTTTGGGAAGATCAAGAATGTGGATATCCCTATGCTTGACCCCTACAGAGAAGTGATGACTGGGGGGACCTTTGGAAGTCTGAGCTATGGCTTGCAGACATTCGAGGCCTTTATACAATACCAAGAGTTAACTGACTATGTCAAAGCCATGGAGTCCCTCCGCGGAATGAAATTGATGCTTAAAGGAGATGATGGGAAAGCTCTGGCATGTAATATTAAGGTAAGAAGTGGCAGTGTTGCTTTTATTTTTCACTCTTCAGGCGGTCTTGCGTAAAAGTTGGAAGGAAACTTCTAAAATAAATTTCCTTGGACTCCCCACCCGCCCCTCCACTAGGCTCTGATCAATAGCAAATGTTGACTTGTGTTGTTATTAATAAATAAATGTTGAGGAAGAAGAAAAAAACATGGTTTGAACACTCACTCTTCTGCTCTCAGACACATTGCCAGTTGCTTGAAAGTGATGGTTGTTATAATCTGAGAACCTGCCCCAACATCTTGGGAGCTCTAAAGGATTCTTCAGGGCCCTACAGAGCTCTCTTGTATGCTTCATCTGTTTGACAAGTTACTGAGACAGAGGGAGATGGGCTGCTTCTCTCCTCTTTCCTCTTATGGTCACAACCCATGTGACTGCCTTTAGGGCCAGAGATCAGTTGTGCTTTTTTCTTTTCTCATTCTGTTCCTACACCCAGGAATTAATTAAGATATGCGTGCTCTTCATCTGGGCACACTGACTGGTCAGGTATTCATCACCATTTTGAGGTCCTGTAGCATCTTGTTTCTGAAGGGTGGATCTTGTTTCTGTGGCTTTGGTTTCTTTATTTGGAACTTCACTTGTGAAAGCATTGGATGCAGGGACTTCCGGTTTTGATACCTGGGCAATGGGTTGGCAGGGGAGGGAGGACTGTGTGGAAGACAGCACTGCTGGGAAGATTGCCACTGCTTCTAGAAAACAGTCAAACCTCCTTAGTAGGGCACATATGGTCCTCCACAATCTTACCCCCAACCTCAGCCCATCCTCTTATTCCCACACCATAGAGTCCTGCTAAGTGGAATCCCCTCACTCACTGCCATTGAATCGATTCTGACTCATGGCGACTCTGGGTAGGGTTTCCAAGGAGCAGAAAGCCTCACTTTTGTCCTGCAGAGCACTTGAGGGGTTTGAACTACCGACCTTGCGGTTAATTGTCCAGTGATTATCTTACAGTGTCACCAGAGCTAGTAGAATTACTTTGTGGTTGTTGTTAAGTGCTGTTGAGTCAGTTCTGACACATAGTGTAGGGTTTCTGAGGAGCAACTGGTAGGTTTGAACTTCCAACCTTGCAGTCCAGCACATTATCCCACAGCACCACACTTGGATTCCTTGGAGTCTCCCTACTACCCAATTTCTTAGATATGGAAATCCTATCTATTATCTTAATAGAAAAAAAACTGTCCCCTTCAATTCTTTCTGTATTCCCAAACATTGTCCCTACTTATTCTTTAGCCAAGGAGTCCTGGTAACACAGTGGTTAAGCATTGGGTTGCTAACAGAAAGATCACTGGTTCGAATCCACCAGCTGTTCAAAAGAGAAAGATGAGGTAGTCTGCTTCTGTAAAAATTTACCTCAGAAACCCTCTAGAGCAGTTAGTTCTACTCTATCCTGTGGGGTCCCTAGGAACAGATTTGCCACTACAGACCGAAGACCAGAAGAGCTGTGGGATGACATCAAGAACATCATACATGAAGAAAGCAAAGAGTCATTGAGAAGACAAGAAAGGAGGAAAAGGTCAAAATGGATATCAGAAGAGACACTATCAAGAGAAGATGGAAGGAATACACAGAGTTGCTGTACCAAAAGGAATTGGTTAATGTTCAATCATTTCAAGAGATAGCATATGATCAAGATCCAATGATACTGAGGGAAGAAGTCCAAGGTACATTGAAGGAATTGGCAAATAACAAGGCACCAGGAATTGATGGAATAAAAATTGAGATCTTTCAAGAAAGTGAGGCGGCACAGGAGGCACTCACTCATCTCTGTCAAGAAATTTGGAAGACAACTATCTGGCTGACTGAGCGGAAGAAATCCATATTTGTGCCCATTCCAAAGAGAGGTGACCCAATGGAATGCGGAAATCATCGGACAATCTCTTTGATATCCCATGTTAGTAACGTTTTACTAAAGGTAATACAGAAACGGCTGCAAGCATACATTGACAGAGAACTTCCAGAGGTTCAAGCCAGATTTAGAAGAGGCCATGGAATGAGGGATATCATTGCTGATGTCCGATGGACCTTGTCTGAAAGCAGAGAATATCAGAAAGATGTTTACCTGTGCTTTATTGACTACTTTTGATTGTGTGGATCATGACAAGCTTTGGACAACATTGCGAAGTATGAGTATTCCTGAACACTTAATTGTGCTCATGAGGAATCTGTACCTGGACCAAGAGGCAGTTGTTCGAACAGAACATGGGAACACTGGATGGTTCAAAATTAAGAAATGTGTGCAACAAGGTTGTATTCTTTCACCATACTTATTCAACCTGTATGTTGAGAAAATAATCTGAGAAGCTGGGTTATATGAAGAAAAACACATTAGGATTGGAGGAAGACTCATTAACAACTTGTGATATGCAGATGATACAACCTTGCTTGCTGAAAGTGAAGAGGACTTAAAACATTTACTGATGAAGATCAAAGAGCACAGCCTTCGGTATGGATTACATCTCAATGTAAAGAAAACAAAAAAATCCTCACCACTGGACCAATAAAAAACATTCTTATCAATGGAGAAAAGATTGAAGATGTCAAGGACTTCATTCTTCTTGGATCAACTATCAACACTCATGGAAGCAGCAGTCAAGAAATCAGACGACGTATTGCATTTGGCAAATCTGCTGCACAAGACCTTTCTAAAGTGTTGAAGAGTAAAGATGTTAACTTGAAGACTAAGGTATGCCTGACCCAAACCATGGTATTTTCAATAACCTCATATGCCTGCAAAAACTGGACAGTGCATAAGGAAGACAGTAGAAGAATTGATGCTTTTGAGTTATGGTGTTGGAGAAGAATATTGAAAGTGCCACGAGCTGTCAAAAGAACCAATAAATCCGTTTTGGAAGAAGTGCAGCCAGAGTGCTCTTTGGAGGCCAGGATGGCTAAACTTCGTCTCTCATACTTTGGACATATTGTCAGGAGGGAGCAGTCGCTGGAGAAGGATATCATGTTTGGTAAGGTGGAGGGTCAGAGAAAAAGAGGAAGACCCCCAATGAGATGGATTGGCCAAGTGGCAGCATAGATGGACTCAAGCATGGTAACAGTAATGAAGTTGGCCTAGGATTGGGCAGTGTTTCGTTCTACTGTGCATGAGGTCACTATGGGTCAGTTCCGACTCGACACCTAACAACAATAACAACAGTGTTAAAAAGGGGCTCTGGTAGCCTAGTGGTTACGAATTGGGCTGCTAAACTCAAGGTCAGCAGTTCAAAACTACCAGCTATTCTGTGGGAGAAAGATCAGGCTTTCTGCTCCCATAAAAATTTTTAAAAGTTTTTATTGTGAATTGAATAAAAGTTTACAGGGCATATCATCAGTTTTACATTAAATAAATAATATACTTTGTTTCATTACGATATTATAATCCACTCCATGTACCAGCAGTTAACAGTATTTCTCTCTCTTCATTTTAGCTTTTTTTTTTTTTTTTTAAACAGTCAGGCATATATAATAATTTATACCACCAAAGGGTACAAGCCTGCCTCCTGTTCACCAACTCTTAGTCCCTCTCTTTCCATGAATCCTGAGTCCTCAGCTGATCCCTTTCTCCATGTCTCCATCTCTGGTGTCGCTGCTTCACTGGATAAGGTCTTGCATTCCGCTTGTGCTCTTCTGCCTGGATGATCCTAGGGTCCTCTGGTTCTTCCTTGATGATCCTAGGGTCCTCTGGTTCTGTTTTTGTTACAGAACTTCTACCTTTACAATTGTGACCATCGCAATTAGTCATGATAACAATTACTGTTGAATCATAAGAATCTTACCCCCATTTCTTTTTACCAGACTCATCTAGACAAGATGAAAACTATTCAGTGGGGACTCTACCTCCCCCGCCCCCCCACTCTTAAACTAAACTCCCTCTTGAAACCTTGTAAGCCAGTCACTTGGTGCCTTTATCACCCCCTCATTTTAGGTAGCCAGTGTCTAAGTTGCCCATCCGTATCTACCCTGTGTACAGAGGGGATAGCATTGATATGTGATGTGAAGACTCCTTCCTTCTCTGTTGGTATAGGTCAAGTTCATCAAATTGTAGCAATTTACCCTCGTTTCCTTTTATCAAAAATTGTTTTTCTGTTTTTTGTTTTAAATCTTCCTCTAGTCAAGTTCTGATTATCAAGCCTTCAAGCCTAGGTCAAATGGATACTATCTGCAAGGTTGGGTGTTCTTGCACATCTCCCCTCACTTCATATCAGCTGGATGCTTCACTTTCAGCTGTAGTCCTCTGTGGCTATGTCCTTGTCCATGGGCTCAGGTGTCCTCAGATCTCACCACACTTTTGACCAACCAGCCCTTCCTCTTCTCTCTCTCATCTTCAGGTCATTGGGAGTCAATGGACCATGGTTGAACTCAGCCCATTTCTTCATTGCTACCTTTCCCACTCTTCCACTCACCAGTAGACTAATGTGGTTGCCAGCAAGCTTGCATGCCTGTTCGTGTGTTCCCTTTGAGTTTCAGTCTTAGAGAGGGGTTTGTCCTGAAGTGACTTGATTGCTTGCCTTAATGGTCCCGTAAAGATTTACAGCATCGGAAACACTGTACAGGGTCGCTATGAGTCAGAACCGACTCCACTGCACATCACCACCACCACCACTACCATGTTAAAGCTATTGATATATCTGGCTTAACTCCCATCCTCTATTATAAGCCCCTTAAGGGAAGGAGCTCTGGTAGCGTAGTGGTTACGAATCGGGCTGCGAACCTTAAGGTCAGCGGTTCGAAACTACCAGCTGCACCGCGGGAGAAAGATAAGGCTTTCTACTCCCGTAAAGATTTACACCCTCGGAAACCCTTTCTACTCCCGTAAAGATTTACACCCTCGGAAACCCTATACAGGGTCGCTATGGGTCGGAACCGACTCGATGGCACATAACAACAACAAAGGGAAGGAAGACTGGCCATATTCCCCACAGTACCTAAAATCAGATGCTTTCTAGAGTAAGTGTTGTACAAATATGGTTGATGTGACTAGAGTAATCAGCATGCATTACTGTCTTTAGAAAATGATGGGTAGTGTCACTAGAAATAAACAGTTTGTGTCACACACGTGATTAAGGTCCTAATCCAGCTAGAGATACTGCCAGGTCCTGTGCCAACCTCACACTCATTGGTGGTCTTCATCTTTTTCATCACCTCTCCACTTTACCAAGCATGATGTCCTTCTCCAGGGACTGGTCCCTCCTGATAATATGTCTGAAGTAAGAGACACGAAGTCTGGCCATCCTGGTTTCTAAGGAGCATTCTGGCTGTACTTCTTCCAAACAGATTTGTTTGTTCTTTTGGCAGTCCATTGTAGTTTCAGTATTCTCCTCCAACACCGTATCTGAAATGCATTGGTTCTTCTACAGTCTTCCTTGTTCATTGTCCAACTTTTCTAGGCAGACGTTGCTGTTGTTAAGTGCCATCAAGTCAGATCAGACTCATAGTGGCCCTGAATAGGGTTTCTGAGGTTTTAAATCCTTGCAAGATCAGAAAACTTCATCTTTCTCCTGAGTAGTGGCTGGTGGACTTGAATTGCTGACCTGTGGTTTGTAGTTCAGTGTTTACCCTATGGAGTCACAGGCAGACATACGATATAGTATATTCTATAGTGACCATCCATATGCCACTGTCCAGCTTAAAAAGTAAAACATTACCAATCAGATGAGTGACAATCCCTTCATCTATACCTCCCTCCCCTGCCAAAGGTTACCATAATGGTGGATTTATTGGGTATCATTCCTGGTATGTTTAAATAGCTAATACTGCTTCTTTTTCTTTCTTTCTTTTTTAAAATCAGATCTATTTGTAGTTCTCTATCTGACCTTCACTTCATTTCCAGATTTGAGCAGTAGTTTAATAATCATGATAGTCAGATTTTGTGTCTCATTAGGTCAGTCTTCTTGAGCTTTCCACCCCCATTTAGATTATTTTTGCCTCTGGGGATTAAACAACAAATAAACCTTAATGCATTGAGCTTTATAATAAAATAAACCAGCAGTCATTTCCTCAGGTCTCTCTGAGCGGAGGCTTGTAAGAGCGCTGTGCTACTGTCCGTGATTGCATGTGAAGGGTGCTTCTCAAGGATTCTTCCTGAGAGCATCCTGGAGTACATGCACCAGTGCTCTTCACTGAGGCTGAAGAACACTGGAACAATCTGGGGACTGGGATGGAGAGGACACATTGAATTCACTTCCTTGTAACTTGACATATACCATGTTCATTTAATCTTTCTGGCCTAGGACATAGCTAGCCAGCTGGCATACTTTTCTAGTGACACTTTGAATTGTTTTGGAGCAGGTTATGTTTGATACCACCAAACACTTCAGTGAAGGAGCTATAAGGAAGAGAAATCAGGAAAGGCTAAAATTGCAAGAGCTGGAGGAAGAAAGGAAAAAAGAAAAGAAGAGAGAAGAGGAAGAAGCTGAAAGGTAAGGAGGCCAACTTTGGTGAAGAAGTGGGTTTTGTTTTTGTTGTTTTGTTTTTTTTCTCTTTGGCTTTTTGGATTTAGTCCATTGAGTGAATCAATGGCTAGACTTGATACATGCTATTGAGGTATAGGGGCAAGAATTGAACCAGATTGGGAAACTCCACTGAAGGTCTACAATCTTTGAACTGTGATGTAATCTAACTAAAATGAGAAAACAGAGGGAAACAACAGACTTCCCCCCAAAAATGTATGTTGGTCAGAGGAGCAAGTAATGAGGCATGATTGAACTCCACACAAATAAATGTCTGGAAAGAAATGATTAAAAGGCCTTGTGAGGGTTGGAAATGTAAAGGTAGACATTTTGTAGCAAGGAGGGTAGTGATTAACTTTGCTAGGAGCGGAGGTCACTGGGACCATCAAGGGAGAAGAGCGGAGAGCAGGACCCTACCCAGAGAAGCAGTGATGTCTGAGATGGAGGCAGAGACGATGACGTGGAGAGATGGAGCAGTTGGGGACTTTAGATACAGAGAGGGAGAGGGGCTGTGTGCTGATGACCGGGGGGGGGGGGGGGG